TAGAAGGGCAGATGTTAAATATGTTAAACACACGCTTTGCCCCCTGGAGGCTCGAGTTAAGGCTGCCGTCTCAATTTGGCCGTTTTAGGCCCTGCCAAGCTGGAGGGAACATCCGCGTTCTGCTTCATTCTTTGCTCCACAAAGAGGTTGATTCCCCCCCTCCCCGACGCACATTTTTTCCTCCTGCTTGCTGTCAGTGGGCCTGATCCACCAGCACCATCTCATCAAAAGCCTCAAAATCCCCTCCCACTGCTTTTGAACATTCCCCTATTTATTTCAAGCAATGTGCATGGGATTTGGGGGACAAGAAGCGGAAGGCCTGTCAAATTCCAACAATGCTTTAAAATTATTTCTCTCTGTAGCTGCTTTTTGGTTTGGACGTCTAGCTGTCCTGGCAATGAGATGTGTGAGGAAGCTCTATTCTAGGCTGGGTGTTCAGCTGTTTTTAAATTGAATATTATCTTTTCAATGTAATCAGTAAAGGTAAAGGTCCTGGCCCAGCCAAATCCAAGCACTTGTAAGTCTTATTTATTTCAAAAGGACAGTGTGAACCCATCCAGAACCCAGTCCTATCCAGTTGAATGACATTTATTCCTAAACTATATTGGGGAGTGTTGTTGTTGATGATGATGATTAGCATTATTCTTATTGGACTACAGTGTGAAGAATCTCCTGTCTATGGTGGGTTCTGCTTGGAGAGTTTTCAGAAACGTAATTCAAAAAAAAACAACAACCAAAAAAAAAACACCAACCTTCGCAAACTCTGTGAAGCAAGCACAGGGCTGCAAAGCAAGACATTTACATAAATACTGTCCTGCTAATTTAAAAGGTTATATGGGTCTGGCTGTGCGAACCGTGCCTCCACTAGAAGTCCATTTGAAGCCTCCCACATGCAGGGGACCCCTTTCCTATTCTATATGTTAAGGGTACACCGACAGAAGTCACATACGCGCATGGCAGCCTCTGTGTCTACGGAGAAGCCCTTAAATGCGTGTCCACTTTGATGTATCTTGGGCGGATGAAGGGGAGGCTCAGAAACAAAATATCCAGGATGTTTCTTTATTCTCTTAGAAGTTGAAGGGCAACAATTCAAGCATTGGACGTCCTAAAAGATCTTCAGAAGATTATTATAAGCCGCTCAATGTTTAGCTAGCCTATCTCACATGGCAAGAGGGTGAAGTCAACCGTGAGCGACTCTGGAGCTGCAGCCTGCAACAGCAGAGGTATTTCAGCCCTGCGGCTTCCTGAGCAAACACCAGACATTGTGTGAAATGGCAGAGGAGGAAAGCCCTCCTTAATCTCCATTTGCTTTTCCACCCTTTGGAGCAACAGCTAAAGCCGTGGCCTGGCAGAGTGAGGCAAGCGGGGCAAGGTTCTCCGTGTCTCCGCAGAACCCTTTCCGAGACAGCCATAGCCACACACGGGGAAAAATACGAAAGCAAGTTAAGGGAGGCGATTCTCAACAAGGAAACAAGACTGGCCCGGGAGCAGCAGAAGCATTGTTGCGCAACTCCCCTTTCACTTCTTTGTTTGACATCCCTTCTTGGCTCTACGGTCGGCCGGCCAGGGCATTTGAGTCCCTTGGATCACGCCATAGGCTGCGCCTCAACCTTTGCTGAATTTTGCAGCATGGTAGCACCTGGGAGTGGGGGAAAACCCTCCTCTGGCTTCACAGAAACCACTCGTGGGAATGCAGATTTCCTTTAAAAAGAGGCGTATCTTCTCCACATGCCCTGTTTTAGTCTTATATCTATTAAAAAAAACTGCCAGCTTGTTAAGAGTTGGAAGAGGAGGTTCCAAGGACAATACAGATGACTGTGGAGGGTTGGGCAGAACATCACATCCGGTCTGCAAGCTCAGTGTTGCTCACATCTATGTTACACATACAGGAGAATGAGTTGGGATCCTGGCATAGTAGAATGACAGAAGTTACTTCTTCAGGATTTTTTCGCCCCAGTGTTTTGAACTCAATGCAAAAACCCACTCAACTCAAGATCAAGCCATGCATACATGAGGAACAAAGTTTCCGTCCTAATTTCTATCCTTCCTGCTTTGCTACTTTAAAAACTGCAGAAAGAAAGCACCAAATGCACCCCATCACTTCTGCCAAGACCAGCTGCCGTTGGTTCCCCCTCCTAGCTGCACCCATTTCATCAGGTGATCCAAACCGCTAGATCTCATTGGTTATCATAGGAAAAGAAGAACATTTTCCTTTTCCCCTCCTCCCAACCCATCCCTTATTCCTTGTGTGTAGTGTCTTAAATTCAGACCAGCAAACCTGCAAGCACAGACTATCTAACTACTTATTTCTCTGGTCATTTACCTTCGTGAGCTAATCCAGCAGCCTTTTCTGGCTAAATACAGGTGGGGCATAAATACTGCAAATAAATAATAATAAATAGAAGGGTGAATTCAAAAATAAGATCTCCCTTCCCTTAATGTGGAGTGGTACAGTCCATCTAACTTTTCAGGCCTCCTACCACCTTCTTGTCTATGGGCCTCTATCACTCTTGTACCCACAGATAAAGGAATTAAATTTGGCATTGCATATTCAGGACACCATCACCATTAAACATCTATGGTGGACACTAGCGCACTACCTAACAAACATTTTTAGGATGGGGTATTGGCAGATGCAAAATACACAGGAGTTATCTTCCTTTAAGAACAGAGACACCAGAACAAAACTCAGCACATTAAGTTTCTGACATAACTGTTCATAGAAATGCTTGGTTGAATCCCATACTGATTCTGAAGAGGAAGGGAGATGATTTTAAAAAGGAGGGTGAAGAGACAGTGAGCAAGAGAGAGCGTTGTAAGGAAAACTGTTAAAAGCAAGGAATCTAGGACATTTGACGTTGAACAACTAATAGATACAGTATACCAGTGAATGAGCCTGTTTATCACAACAGAGAAGTGGTCAATATGAATCATGCTGGGCTCTCGTGGGGTGCTCCCCCAGAGATCTTAACAGCAGCCCAAAGGCACCCAGATTTCTTTTGTCTTTCCAGGCCATCTGAGAAATACAGAGTAGAGTATTCGTGAAGGCTTTCACGACTGGGATCTAATGGTTGTTGTGGGTTTTTTGGGCTCTTTGGCCGTGTTCTGAAGGTTGTTCTTCCTAACGTTTCACCAGTCTCTGTAGCCGGCATGTTAAGAGGACACGAGTCAGAACTCTGTCTATGCACCAGAGCACAGACAGAGTTCCGACTCCTGTCCTCTGAAGATGCCGGCCACAGAGACTGGTGAACCCCCCCAAGCCAACTACACCAGAGCACAGAGTGCTGTCCTCTGAACATACCGGCCACAGAGACTGGCTGTGATGCCTTTGAGCTGGGGCTTCTCAGTGACCCCATCCCCTCCCATGCCTTTGCAGACTTCTCGTCAGGGTACAAAAATTGTATTATTCTGCATGGCCTTTGGGTTGAGACGATTTTGCTGCTCTGCTTTTTTCAGTATTGATTGTCAGCTATTTGAACTTATGATGTCATTGTGCACTGTGTGTGTGTGTGTGTGTGTGGTCGTTTAGTCGTGTCCGACTCTTCGTGACCCCATGGACCAGAGCACGCCAGGCCCTCCTGTATTTCAATATTATGCTGAGTGGTTTTTAGGAGGTCATGTTGCATAAAGTGCTTTGATGGGTAGTTGGTGGGAAACCAGCCTAATAATATCATCACCAGCACCATAAATGAAGGAGTTACAAAGGGTGAAATTTGAAAACATTTGAAAATGTGATGATAATCATAACTGCCAAAGGAACCATGTAGGAATCCAGATATGGAACTTTGGCAAATGTAGCCTTTATCACAGTCACATTAACCATATATCTGCCATATTGAAAGTGATGAATTATGAACTGGACACTGTCTCTGTCCAAGGCAGAATGTAATGTGTGGCTTACAGCACTGAGGGCACCAGTTTGCAGGTTTCTCACCTGTTGTTTAGCCCAACCTGTGCGGGCCTGTGGAAAGACTGCCTGAAAGACCATAAACACAGAAGATGGATAGCTTAGCCTGAACACACTACATGTTTGGTCAGAGTCTTCTGGCATCTTAAAGCTTAAAAGGTTTTCTCTGACATAGCTTTCGTGGACTGTAGTCCATTTCATCAGATGAGGAAGTGAAGTACAGTCTATGAAAGCTTACGTGAAATGAAACATGCAAGTCCCTTAAAATGCTACAACACTCTCTAGTAGCTTTGCTGTAGCACACTGATTAATATCATTAACCTATCCAGCTTATTTTAATTATTAATTATCTCTCTTCAAATTGCTAGCAGTTTTATTATATTGCATTTTTTCCACTTTCTAAGCTGTGTTGAGAGAGGGAATACAGTGTAAGATGAGATAAAAATCTATTAAACAAGGAAATTTACTCAACCATGATATACGTCAAGTATCAGAAAAGTGAAGGCTGCAGGCAGACAAAAATGGACAGAAAATAAAAAAGACAAGGCTTTGAAAAATAACAGTAGAAGTGAAAAATTTAGAACCACAGAGCAGTATGTTACATACACAATGTTTTTATTCAGCTGCTCAGAAACATGCTACCAATGGCTTAGTAGTAGCCAAGAAATCCTCTGATGGAGTTACTATTTCAAGTAGAAAACAAATCTTTTACATGGCTTAGAAAAAGCAAGCCATTAAAAAAAAGAGAGAATTTGGAAATTTTGGACAAATATTTACAGACTGGGTTTTTGAGATGCCCAGGAGTTCTTCACATGCTTGTTCCATGTTATTCTACTGTCTCCTCTGTGACATACACATCAAGAAAATGTGCAGTTCAATGCCTATATGGATGTTTACTCAGGTGTAAGCCCTAACAGCATCCAATAGGGCTTATTCAATAGTAATGCTACACAGGTTTGCAGATTTAGAGTACATAACAGAGATATTCATATAACTATGAATACACACTCCGAAAAGTTATGCAAAGGAAATCAAACCAATTCTTAAAAGACATGCACGAACACAAATCCCCATTCAAACGCACTCCACTTACCCAGTACGTTTGGTGATAGTTCCCAGAGTCATGGGTTGCTTGATCTGAGCAAGAGGTACCACTACAGTCAAGCTTGGAAGTGGTGAAAGACGAGGGTTGCCGGGATTATTGTTGGTGAAATTGTTGTAAGTGTCTTGACTGTTCAGTTTTCCTTGATGATGGAGTCGAGGTGGGGTGGAGTGGGGTGGGGAGAAAGAGAGAGAATCAATGTTATTTATATAACTTAAACAGGAGCCAGAAGATTTTTTTTAAAAAAAAACTCCTTTAGGAACCCCAACATTCTCCCACCAAAGCTTAGTACAAAAGACAGAAATGCAGAATTAAAGAATACAGAGCCAGGAACATGTTCTGAATATCATAAACGAACAGAGCACATAGTCCTTCCACACATAATTCATCTGCTTGTTCCTTTAAGCTTTCTTCATTTCAGAAGGATAATTTAAAGCGTCATCTTTTCGCTGCCTTTGTTAAACAACTGGCAAGCTGGAAGTCCTTGTACTGTAATTTCTATTCACATCACACAGACATCTACCAGGAGATACAAAGCTACTTTCTCTAAATAAAAATGTTCGTACTGCTTGCCCAGTAACTTTATGGGTGCATTTCCATCCTTGCCAGAGCTGAGCCTTTCTATATCTACACATTTTAAAAAATAATTAATACCTGCAGAGACATGAATTAATTTTTTCAACACACTTACACTTACACGTGCACAGAACAGATACATAAGACATATCAGCTCTAACCCAACTAGGGAGATTTCACTGCCACATGTAGTTTTGGCTACACATAGCTCACACAGATGATGATCGCGGCCGTATTAAATACGGTATTCATCTCTTTTATATTTTTAATTATTTTGGTAGTTTGTCTTTTAACTACAACACAAAAGCTAAATATGAAGATGGGCCACACAAAAGCTAAACATAAAGTAAAACCAGAAGCATCAATGAGACCACAGAAGCATATAATAAATCCCAACTAAACACCACCAGCAAAAACACCACCACCTTTGGGTCGTCCCAGGCTTTTAATAACATGTTTTTGCAATTTCAGATCTTTATAGCAGTGCAAAAACTTGCAAGCACAAAACCACTTTATTAAAATGCTATAAAAAGATTGGCACTTGGTGCCCAAGGGACTGCAACATTACTGATAAGAAGGCTTCTCTGTGGAGGGGGATTCCACAGAGAGGGGACCACCGCTAAGAAGGTATTCTCTCTTGTAGATCTTTGGCAGGTTTAGCTGCAAGAAGACCATAAGATCTAAGTAGGGAACTACAGAAGGAGATGTCTTGGAAGCTCCAGCATAACTTAGTTTCAGTAGTTTTTAGTGTTCTGGATTTCAAAGTTGTGACTTCTTTAATTTTGTTCTTTAGTGAACTGCCTAGAGAACTTGTGTTTTCAATCATCATCATCATCTGAGAACTACAGAGCCGGAAGGGACCAATATTTTGAATAAATGAACAAACAGGCAAACTCGTAAAACACAGGGGAGTAAAGGTCACTGAATATCAGATTCTGCAGAATTAATTCTGCCTATCCCCTTAAATCAATAGGATTTAAGTGTGCTGAACAAAAGATGTTAGAGATAAAAATTCCTATCTGGTCACCATACTGCAAAGTCCTGTCTGATCTAGCATCTCCCTGACAGCAAGATTTCTTCACATTCCTACAGAGCTACTATTTCTAAATGATGTTATTTTGGCATGCGTTTAGCTGTTATTCTATTCCACTCCAATCTGTTTCAGCATTAACCTGAGTTATTTTTTTAATAAATTAAAAATAAATATTTAGAAAGTTTTAAATGTATATTTCCTCCCAAAATATATTTCATGCTGATAGTTTTAAACTGACAAAAATTATGCTCTGCCATTCCTAGAAGTATGAAATTTAGTAAAATTAGTTCAAAAAGTGTTCATTAGATCGGTTAATACTGTATATTAATTTGTAAATACTTAATTCTTCAAGCATCCTAGCACAAAACCAAGTATGAAACTGTGGGTAATTCCCTTATCTGTTTGGCTTTTTAATCTGCCTTGCAAATTATCATCAATGCCCTACTGAAAATAAAATTGTATATGGATTCCTCATTCCATTCCTTTTATCTTCTTTCAAAATGAAACCAATTTAAATGACATTAATTTTAAAAAGCAAACAACCCACAACTAAAATTAAAATGAGGTTTGAAACAGTGTGGGACAGTTTCTTGATTGTACATTCATTCATTAAACAACACGAGATCTAATGGACAATACAGATATCCAGAAGGTTTAATTATGAAAAGGGTATTTACCCCCTGAACAAAATCCAGCTCTTGAAAGAAAATTGTAAAAGTATTTTGGCAATTGTATTGGAAATATTAAACTCTATCCTGTGAACCTAATTAGAACAAAAAAATTTTTTTGAAAAAAATGTGCTGCTCCAAACCTAAATAACAGGAATGTTCTTTGAAAGGCTAAACCACCACGCACATATCTACCATGGTGACGAGCGTCCCTCAATGCATGTAGCTGCAAAATTGGTATCTGTGATTTGGTACTGAGGTAAATGTGAGCTGAATGCAATTTCATGATTCTCTGAGTGTTCTGGTTTTAGATAATAGATGAGCCCCCCCTCCCCAAAGCAAATTTATAATAATAAAAAATTTTTTTTTACTGTACTGTACATTTAATCTCCAGCTTGGAATCCAATGAATGCCTTTTCTCCTCTGCCTTGCTTCACATCGTCCCACTTCCCTTTAATGTGCTTTAGTCGTTCTGTCTATGCCTTTGTCTCGCTCTTTTCCTTCCTAATTCCCCTCTTCAATCCATATCACCAACTAGTTCCCCGCATCTCTGAATGTGCCCCCTTCAGACTCGATTGACCTCTGATTCACCTATTGCATCAGGACCGATCTTGCTACAATCCTAGCCATGATTTCATTATTAACTTAAGTGCATATGCTCTCTCTCTTGCTCCTTCTTATCTTTCCTCTTTGATTTCATATTCTTGTCTCCCTTGATCGTTCCATTCCTCGGGACAGTTCTTCTTTTCTAATTTATTTCTACTGGAGCATTAACATAGTGTTACTTCTGCACTCTACCCAATATCCTTCCCTGCACTTTCTGTCCAAGTAGAGAAGAACTGATTTTACTACAATTTCTTTCTCAATTTTTTGTCTGTTTCTCCTTCCTTCCGACAGCAATCTGACACGCTTACAAGGGAGGGCATCTCACAGGAATCACTAGTGCTTGCTTCTCAGTAGGCCTTGTATGCAACAACATTGTGCTGTCAGAATGCAAGTGTCTGAGAAAAGCTTGGTTTCATATAACAGCTGGTTGTGTTCGGTTCAATATTTGTCACACTGTCCTTTCTTTCTACTTAATTAATTTTCATTCTACACCAAAGTTCAGAATTACTGAGATAAAAGTAGAGATAATTAAAGTTGCACACAGATTGGATGGCTCATTTGTCTAACCTGTAGTGGTAGCAGTTTTGAGCCCTGAAATGATATACTGTACGTATTTCCTTCACCACCTATATGTTGTACAGCAACATATATAAGATCTGGCGTCATGAGTGCATACTCTTATTCTTCATGCATGGAGGAAGGAAGGAAGGAACCTCAAAGAAAGTGTTGGTTTTGGAATTTATTTATTTATTTATTTATTGGACTTATATACCGCCCCATCGCGCTACAAGCACTCTCCGGGCGGTTTACAATTTTTTAATTATACAGGCTACAGGCTGAGATGTTTCTGAACGATTCTTCCTCCCGTATCACTGAAGCTGTCGCTATTTTTTTGCTTGAGATTCTTAAATTAACTTCCAAGTTATAACCCGTTGTGTTTATTGTTAGTAATCCCAGCTGTATTTATGCCAATAAAGGTTTGGAGAAAGAAAGAAAAGGTTTACAGGCTACACATTGCCCCCCAGCAAGCTGGGTACTCATTTTACCGACCTCGGAAGGATGGAAGGCTGAGTCAACCTTGAGCCGGCTACCTGGGATTTGAACCCCAGGTCGTGAGCGCAGTTTTAGCTGCAGTACAGAGTTTTAACCACTGCGCCACGAGGAATTGCACTTAGGATTCTTTTTTCTTCATTTTTTAAAAAAAATCATTTCAGTTATTTATGTATCGATGTTTTGGTAAACTTGATAGTCATCTGTTGCTCAACTGAGGACGTACCCCACTAAGAGAATTAAACAGGCATTTATGGATAGAAAGGAATGACACTTAGAAATAGCATATAAACTTTAGCTGGATCAGGTGGACCATATTCTAGAACGCTGGGGAGAGAAGTTTCCAATCTTTGGTAAATGACAGCAAAAACCAAATGCCTTTGTCAGGAAGAGACTGGAGTAACATCAGCTATCCTTCCAGCCAATCTTACTAATGTTTACTCGGAAGCAAGGCCCACAGAGTTTGACAGGATCCCTTGTCTGTGTGCCCAAGACTGCAGCCTTAATTATTCCAGCATGCCACGGTTCCTGTAACATGAAATTTAAATGTTTTCCTTCAGCAAAAAGAAAAAGGGCCCTAAACTAAACTCGTATCTCAATCCGAACAACAATAGCAACCTAATATGTGCCTCAGCAACAACAGCCATGTATTATGTGCCTCAATAATTTGGCACGGTAAGAGAGGTTAAAGAAAATCTAATCTGGAAGGCGTAAGAGGTAAAATAGGATGTTGTGTCCAATTTTGACATCATTGTTTTCCATTGTGTACCCCTCTCCAGTCAACAGTCCCGGTTGTAAGGGGGGGCAAGGAGGGGAAAAGGAACAAACTCCAAATTTCACAACCAACTGGAGAGGGAAAAGTGGAGGGGGAAGAAAAAGGTGAAGAGGAGCAGAAGGAAGCAGAGGCCTCGGCTGTTTACAAGAGATTGAAAAGCACTCAAAAAGGGACAAGGCTCCTCTGAATTAAAAGGTTTAGATTGTTAACTTGTTTTTCTGCGCCCGCCTGCCCGCCCAACGATGTGAAATTGTGGCTTTTCTTCAGGAGGAGGAGGCGGAGGAGATGGGTGGCGAACCGGGGAGGTGGGGTGGGGGGGGGAATGGATGGATTCAAAAGGGAGCCATGTTTGAATTCGGTCCCTACAAAGCTTTGGCTTTGTAGAGATATATTATACAAGTCTCAGGGCAAAAGCGTCCAAAACTCTCACTGAA